TGTATATTAGTCCACCACATACACACACACACACACACACACACACACATATATATATATATATATATATACGCACGTGTATACAAATATACACATGTGAGATTTAATCGCAAGCCTGTTCACAAACGGTGGGGATAATAATACTTTTCAAGATAAAAATATACAACCCCAAAATTTAAACATACTTTCGGCTCCATGCTCAAATCTACATACCCAATCGAACGACTCCACCCGAGAATTGTACTCGGTTGTAACATGACTATACTGTTTGATTTGGTCCAAGAGCGCTGATTGGACCAGATCATTCTCCACCAGGGTGCCCAAATAAGGATATCCCACTTGTTTGGCGGAAAATTCAATTGAACCGGCACTGATGGAATCCCATACTTGCATACTTGTATACTCTTTTGCTCGCACCTCTGTTATCGCGTCCCACACGTGCATGTCTGTATCGAATACGATGTAGTAGTCGAGCACAGTTGAGTTAAGTATTGTTCGATATCTTGATCTGTTTGAGTTCATGATATGTATTCGGTTGTGTTAGATATCAAAACCCGTTTGAGTTTGTAGTATGGTGCAATATAGGTTGTGTTCCACCAACACATGGACGATTACACTCCTCGCCCTGCTGTTGCTATACTGGTATAAGCATTAGCAACCCTAACAATCACAGCTATGAACTACTACTCGCGAGCGAGTCATGTAAACTATTGCAGCAGCGGTTCGAACACAGTGACATGGCATCTCCCAGCAGATAGTCAAGCGCCACAGTGGCCTATGGCGGGCTGAAAGGAATAACACTTGCAGACGAAACGAACCAATATACACACATCCTTGTACAAGATAGAAAATCAGCCATGCGAAGCACACGCTTACATGCATAAACACGAACGTATATACGTTTCCGCCCAAGTTATAGGGGCATAGCAGACAACACTTCCGCCTAGGCACGACGAAACATGGACATCCCCACAACAGCAAAACGTTCACCATACAAGTTCAAAGACCACAGAGATAGTCGACCCGCAGACTTGCACTGTTGTTGGAGAGCATACCCTGTAAGAGCTTAGTAGACGCCGGTCGCAACGCTACAACACGGTTACCGTATTGGGAACTCGCGGTGGGTGTGGTAGGAGGACCTTTAGCCGCATCAAGCATCAATATCCTGAGATGTTTAAGAACAGGGGAAGTGCCTGTATAACATTCACAGTGCCAGTATAGAGTGTGAGGGTAAAACGTTAATGGATGACTATTGACAGCGTGACATAAAAGTAGCTACAGGTAGAGAGATGACTTGACATACTTACTGCTACATATTTCACAGGTCAACGACCTCGGAGAAAAACTGACAGTAAGATAGGTTCAAACGGTCAATTAAATACTATAATCAAACCAAACGACTGCAACATGGCATAATCGTAGGTTTAATAACTATGCGAACAAGAGATGACGTCTCTGATCAAATGAATATTTAAAGA